TCAGAGGCGGTGATGGAGTGCGCGATCAGAGCTAATCCCGGCGCCAGTGATATACAGTTTATGCTCAACGGATCCGTTATCGCAGACAATGAACAACAAGGTTGGCGTCGATGTTATTTATTTATTAGTTTTGTAAGAATTGCAACAAAAGTGTATATGATCTGGATAAAATTACAGGTATTTTTATAACAAACACAACGCTCACTATACGACACCTGCAGTCCCAACACAGGGGAAAGTATAGCTGCGGCGCCCAGAATCTGGAGGGCCGGGGCGTTAGCAACGAAGTGTGGCTCGATTTGAGGTGTAAGTATTGTTTTTAAACACTTTCAACATGATTAATAACTACATTTACAGAGATGAATTGGTGTATTAACGGGGAGTGCAGGGGTAGGGGTGGATAGGATTTATTGCTCGTATTATAGTCTTACCCCAAGAGCTACTGGAGTCTTATACCCTGGTATTTATAACCAGTGGTTTAATCGATGATTTATTTAGCAAATAATTTATTGATTTATATTTTTGTTAATAAACTACTGAGCATTCAATCTAACGATATGTTTTTGTTTTTGTTGACTGGCGATCACCCGACAGACACCCCGATATGCCGTAACAGTGCCCTGAAGTCAACGGTGGCGATGACTGTGAACGAGACCCAAGTGCTCCGGTGCTCAGTGGAGGCCCAGCCCCTAGACGTGTCATTTTACTGGACATTCAACAACTACGAGCTCCACTCCGACAACTACACCGCCCGGGGGCTGACCTCTGAACTCCGGTTCCGTACGGCCAGCGCTCAAGACTTTGGTCTCGTGTCGTGTTGGGCCAAAAACGAGGTCGGCCTACAGGCGCAGCCCTGTCTGTTCCACATCACCACCGCTTTGCCCCCACAGCCGCCCCGGGATTGCTCGGTGGCCAACCGTACGATGACATCACTGACCATTGAGTGTACGCCCGGCGACAGCGCCGGACTCTCGCAAACATTTTTCGCCCAACACTTCGGCGCCGATTCCGGCGTTGAGTCGGACGTGAAAAATCTTAGCCTATCGTCGGTGCCGTTGTTTTTCATCGCCGGCCTCTCCTCTGGCACTGAATACACTGTTAATCTGTACGCTATTAACGCCAAAGGCATGAGCGCACCCACACGTATGCTCGTGTCCACCCTTTCCACTGTCAACACAAAATTAGGTACACAATGTATATATTGTTAAATCATTTCTAATTTGGTTTGTATATTTATGATGGTAATTTTGTTTTAATCAATTTTACATTTATGGTGTTTTGTTGTATTATATAGTGTCCGGCAATCAAGAGCTGGACTACGACCCGATTCTGGCCGTAATAGTGGGTGCCTTACTGTCGCTCATCCTAATTGTGCTCATTGTTATCA